AATAATCAAGATTCTCATTCACTTCCTTGGCCTTCTACCATTCTTACCCAGACCGCCTTCAACTGTGGGTTAATACTTCGTCCATTTCATTGTTTTGGAACGCATGCTACTCTCCCTGCTGGAGAAAGTCCAGGAGGTAGAGCAATTCACCCTGCTTGTTCAATATAGCTCTGCAACCCTTCCCTTGAACCCTAAGCAGCTCTGAATTCTCAGAACAGCTATTACAAAACTCACCACCCCCCTCCTTTGTACTTGAAAAGATCATCTTTAAGTGCTGGCACTACTGTGCTCTCCAGTTTTCCCTCTTAATTAATTATATACAAATCCTCACAGTATATCCACCTTTGATTTATTTAATTTTTTGAATGTTTTTTCTTCAAATTTATTTTGAGAGAGACAGAGACAGAGCATGTGCAGGGGAGGGGCAGAGAGAGGGAGGGAAACACAGGCTCCGAAGCACATCAGATGGAGAGTAACCCCGAGAAGCTGAACAAAGTGCTGGCCCAGGCTGGGGTCACAGGCCAGTGGCGCTGCTTCGAGGGCAGGATGTGCTGGGGCTGGAGGACGACGCTCTAGGCTTGGTGCCAGCGCCTGCCTGCGCGCTGCTGCTGTTCCCCTCACGGCTCAGCATGAACTTCAGGAAAAAACAGATCGAAGAACTGAAGGGACAGGAAGTGAGTCCTAAGGTAAACTTCATGAAGCCGACCATCGGGAACTCCTGTGATACCGTCGGACTCATACATGCAGTGGCCAATAACCAGGACAAACTGGAGTTTAAGGATGGATCTGTAAAAACTCCCTTGGGCCAAAAGGTGAGGGGCTTGCAAATGAGGATACCAACCACTGTTTGATCTCAAACTCTATTTGGGTAGAAGGTCAGGGGTGGAACAACCTACCTCCTCCTGGCTTCAGCAAGCCCCTGAGATGTAAATCTTTAGTGAACATTGTGATTAGAATGGTCAAACATGTTCTTCAAGCAGCTGTTAAACAACCCGCACCTCTAACGACAAGATTCTCTCTTCTGTACACCGGCTTCGCCCCTTTCCCTCTATAAACCCTGAGCCATGGCTCGGCGGGGCGCTCTTCTGAGGATTCTTCGGGTGCTCGGGAGGGGCCATCCGGCCTGACTAAAATAAACCTGAATAACCAACTCCTTTAGTGTTTTGTGGGCTTTGTCCTCGGTGATTCTCCTTTGGAAAAGGTGGTCTAACAGATCCGTCCTGAAACAGTTTCTTTCTGAAACAGAGAAGCTGTCCCCTGAAGACAGAGCAAAATGCTCTGAGATGAGGCCATTCAGGCTGTGGCCCAGGAAGGCCAATGTCAGGTAGATGACAAAGTGAATTTTCATTTTATTCTGTTTAACAACATGGATGGCCATCTCTATGAACTTGATGGACGAATGCCTTTTCTGGTAAACCATGGCACCAGCTGAGAGGACTCCCTGCTGCAGGATGCTGCCAAGGTCTAGAGAATTCACTGAGCATGAGCAAGGGGAGGTCTGCTTTTCTCTGTGGCACTCTGCAAGGCAGCCCGATGCCCTAGGGGAGGGACAGAGCTTTCCCCTGCCTCTTCCCTTCAGCGTGAAACCTGTCCCCACAACTCAGTCTAAAATGCTTCAGTGCTTGTGGAACACAGCTGTGTTCTCCTTTGGTTCTGCAGATACACTCTCACCCTCAACCACACCCAGGCACTAGCAGAGCTCAGCTGTCCATCGAGCAAAATTGGATAGAAGCTTCAGGTGGCGAAGCATTGTGCCTCAGTATGTATTGTACTCAATAGCTTAACGCTTTAAATGGCCACTTTGGTTTGTGTCTGTTAAAGTTAAAGCCTTGGATATGGTTTAATTGTCTGTCCTTAACATAAATAAAACTTTTCTGCTGATTAAGGCATGAAGGAAAAAAAAACCAAACCCATGAACCGTGAGATCCTGACCTGAGTTGAAGTCAGACACTTAACGGATCCACCCAGTCGCCCCAATTTTTACCCTTTAATCAATGACTCTCCTCCCTGACCTCCTCTTTCTCATTTCCTTGGAGACTAACCTTCTTGAAGGATAGACCTCATCACTTCTTCCTCAGCTTCCATGCCATTTTCAGTCTCTTTAGACTGGCTCCCACTCTGCACAAATTGTTCTCTTGAAGGCTCTCATGACCGCATTTGATTGACTGACAAATGCAAAGGTCTCTTCTCAATATTCTCCTCCTTCAACTCAGCATGAGCCAGTATTATGGACTATTAGCATCTACTTGATTTTTCCTCCTGTTTTATTTGATCTTTCATGGACTGGCGTCTCTTTCTGTTCTTGCCCCTTAAACCCAAGACATTCTCTACGGTCCCACTGTGACTGCCATCTTTCCTCACACTATGTGATGGTCCCTGTTAACCTTCTCTGACTGAGCGCCATGCTCTGCGGAAGGCTCCCACAGCTGCGCCTCCCAGCCCGGCCTGCACGTGCAGAGAACCAGGCCTACCCCAACTATGCTGTCCCTCCAGCTCTGGTGCCATACAGGTGCCTCCGGCTCAACACACCTCAGGCCTGAACTTCCTCCCAGAACCTGCTCACCTCCCCGCTGATCGTCCCTTTCAGTCAGCAGGGAGGCTCCTCTAGCTCAGGCGCCAGGCCTGAGCCATCTTCAGCTCTTCCCCTCCAACCGCAGCCTCAAGTCTCCAAGTCTAGAGACCCAGGAGCTCGACCCCGTGGCTGCTCTTGCACCTCTCCCCCTTTCAATTCCCACTGCTGTTTCCGGTTCTATCACTTCTTTTAGCAACAGCAGCCAACAGTGTTTTTCTCCTTCCTTTTCTACCAATCACAATGGAGTAGACTCACACACAGGCCATGGTCCCCAGCCCTCCCCTCATGTTTCTAGAACTTTCCCAGACCATCTCCCTTTTGTATTCTGGACCAACTGTACTGATAAGATGTTGCCTTAGAGGAAACGGTCTGTCTGGACATCGTCTCTGCCCTATCATTTCACCTTTATGTTATCCCATGTGAGTTATAAAGGTAAATCTGAATTAAGGAAACATATATACGTGTAAGCATATATATACACATACACACATATATTTCTGTATAATATATATACATACATAGACATACATCCAAAACTGCAGAAGTATCTTCTCATAGATACAAATAGCGATCTATTACTCAAATAGTAGTTTCATAGCATCCAGTCTGGAAATAGGGTTTTACAAACTAATTTCAGTTAAAAACCCCATTTCCCACCCCAGCCAACTCTTACATTGAAGTCTTAACCTGCCATGCAGGATACTGGGATAGGACCTTTAAGGAGGTGATTAAAGTTAAATGAGGTCATAAATGTGGGGCCCTAACCCATATATTGGACTGGTGTCCTTCTGAGGAGAGGAAGAGACCCCGGTTATTACCGGCACATAGAGAAAAGACCCTGTGAGGACACCAAGAAGGCAGCTGTAAGCCAGAGAGGGACCTCAGGCCAAACCAACCTGCTGGCACCTTGGCTGTAGACTTTAGGCTCTGGAACCTTGAGAGCATACATTTCTGTTAAGTTTCCCATGTTGTACTATTTTGTTAGGCAACCCTAGCTGACTCATATATAGCCTAAGGTCAAAAGAATTGGCATATCTGTGAAGTAAAAAAGGTAACTAGGGTACAGCTGTTTAAGATACTTATGAAAGAAATAGAAAGTAGAAATGATTTAGATTGGATATAAGAATGTCATGACTGAGGGACACCTGGGTGGCTCAGTTGGTTAAGCATCCAACTCTTGGTTTTAGCTCAGGTCATGATCTCCCAGTTTGTGACATGGAGCCCCACATGGGGCTCTCCACTGACAGTGTGGAGCCTGCTTGGGATTCTCTCTTCTCTCTCTGCCCCTCCCCTTACTCACTTGCGCATGCTCTCTCTCAAAATAAACAAACTTTAAAAAGAACATTATTGAATAGGGTTGCATCATCACTATTGAATCCTACTGGTTGCAGGCAATGACCCAAAGAAACAAGGGACGGTGGAGAGGCACAGGTGAGAGGAGATTCAAATGATGCTTGCACAAGTGAGATCCTAAGAGATTATAGCCTTTTCCACACTCCATTCCAAGGTAGAGTAAAGGTGAAATGACTTCATGGTGAAATAAGGTTTGGAAGCAGCAGGCAGAGCAAAGTAAGAACAATTAGCAGAATTTTGCAGAATTCTGCAGAACTGGGAGATTGCAGAGTTCTGGGAGCCTTTTTGTGAGCTCCATGAAGCACCATGAGGGGGATCAGGCATTATTTGATGACAGAACCCTTCAGCTGTGAGACACCAGGGGCGATGCTTCTTCCTAGGGTCACATTTTCAGAGGTGCTGGATCAAAGGAAACTTGGCTACTTTCAGGGACATACCCCTAATGGTGTCAGTCAACACCTGGGTCAGTGGGAGGGCACAGTTATCGAGGCCTGATACAGAAGGAACTACAAAGTAGTGAGCGATACGTGTGTGCCCTTGAACCCTGTTAACTGTGTGATCTTAAGCAAGTTCTTCGGCCTCTAGAGTTCAGTTTCCTCATCTATAAAACAAAGACAACAGCAGTGAGTACTTATCTCCATGGGTCTTTTTTTTTTTTCAGATTATATGGCAATAACGAGGGTAAAGGCTTTCCTCATTTAGTACTCAGTATGTATTATTTGTGCTATAGGTTACAGGTCTGCCTTCACACATTCCTGATGGTGTAAGAGGAATGAGAGTAAAGGAAAGCCTTAAATATTAACCACTGTTTTTACAATTTTGCTCATGCAAATCACTATCTTCTACAGGTCAGAGGCTGGTGGCATTGGAAGTAAATCCATCCGGGCTCTGCCACATTTCTTGCCAGTGCAGCACACCTACAGGCAGAACTGCAGGTGTGTGTTCACCCCCTCCCTGCCCTGCTCCTTTTCAGTGGACCCATCAAACCAACTCTGCCAGTCCTACACAGCCGCCTTCACGGGGAGTTCAGGTATTTACAGTGTAAGAGCCTGACTGCCAAATAAAGACGACAACAGAAAATGCCAAAGAGCTTTATTTCACGTCAGTTCGAGACGTTGCTAACAACCTGACGACGTGTCTCTACAATCCTTGATTCTTGCGCAATTCAACGTATCAGCAGTCACAAATATATCACCTTGAGGAGGAAATAAGTAGCTTTTCTCTAAAGCTCACTGGGCATGGCAGGAAGGTGGCCAATTCCCTGGTTCCGCTCTTCCTCCCCCCTCCTTCTCTCGGGGTCTCCCTCCCCCAAGAAAGGATCCAGGTGGACCAGAATCCTCATGCTCTACTCCACCCTCATGACTGGATTCCAGTTTCCTGTTTCTCCAATGGAAGGCCTGAAAACCAACCAAGGTTTCAAAAACAAAACCCAAGGCCTGCAAAGCAACGTGGAGGCACAGCTGTTCTCCACAAGCTATCATTTTCACTGGCCTCCCACCCGGGAGGTTTCTCCCTTTACCGCTGTCATGAGTGTTCTCATCTTTCACAATGGCAGGATTCGATAGGAAGAATGAATCATAACTAGAGAAGAGGGAAAAAAAAAATCTAACCCTGTAGAAAGTGCCTTAGACAGAACACCAGAGAGATGGACAGCAGGGGCACTGACATTCCCCGGCTCCCCCCTCACTTGCGGTGCTCAGTCCCAAATACTGACAGCGCCCCCTTACCCGGCACGCGGGAATCACAGCCCCTGCAGAGCAGAGTGTGGTGAAGTAGGGGCCTGAGAGCCGGAGGAGGGCTGGCTCTGCCCTTGTTCGTTGGCCGGCAGCCTGGGCTGGCACTGCGGGCACCACCAGGTGAGCCTCTGGAAGCCGCCCGGAGGCCCAAAGGCCTCTTTCATAACCTGGTGCCCAGCGGGGCACTGCTCCTTCTGGTAGACCTGCGTGTGCTGCTGTCTGCCCTGGAACTTGCCCCGAAGCCAGTCTGCACTGAACTCTACCACATGATCCACCAGGGCCTCGAGTCGTGGAGGACTGAGGAGGGAGCCCAGAGAGAGGGGATGGATCCCAGCTCTGTACAAGGCTTCGTTCTTGATGATGTTCCCTGGGAGGAGGCAGGGAGAGGACAAGGGAGGGAAAAAGAACAGATCCATGAGGAGCCCTGTCTGCAAAGTCAGCAGAGCAAACTGCAGCTGGTTGGAAGGCAGCAGGGAGCTCCCCCAGAAGACCTGGAGCCAGCTCTACCACGGACTGGGGGCTCCTGGGCAAGTCATACAGCCTGAACCAACTTCCTGTCTGCCAAGTGGGTTTGCTAATACTTACCTTTAAGGTTGCTGTGAAGATGAAATGTAATAAACTGAGGCATGGTCCGTGTTACAGCAAAGAGGTTATCAAAACAGGCTACGGAACCTATCTGCCTCTGAACCTCTGCTCAACCAGACCCTAGCTATGTAACCTTGGAAAGTTCCTTAACTTCTATAAGCTTCACTTTCCTCATCTCTAAAATGGGGCTTGGTTACCTGGCTTTTGTGAGCAGTAAATGAGAATTCTCTCTCTTTCTCATACACATACACACACACACACACACACACAAATGCTGAGCACTGTGGCTGGTACACTGAAAGTCCTCAATAAACATTAGCTATTATTAAAATATCAAGCATAATGCCTAAAGTAGAAAGTGTTTAAGAAGTGTTATTTCATTATTTTTCTACTGCTGCCACATTCCCTGAAGTCAGTCTTGAGCCCTCCTTCTAAAATCAGTTAACTGATTCTCTTCAAAATGTTCCAACAGCACACTTTCTTTAACCTCTACTAGGCATTTGCCACAATCTATCTAAGTTATGGTGACCGAAGTCTGTGTTCGCCAGGCCCTTAATAGCCTCCTTAAGGAGGGAAGCGGAGCTTGGTGGAAGGCAGGTGTTCAGCACGCGTGGGATGGATGAACGATTCACTGCAAACTAGATTCTTGGCCCAGCTGTACCGCCTGTCTGCAATGTGTCCTTTGCTTTAGTTGCTTCATCCAAATAAAGGGAAAACGAATAAGTAACTATCCTACAGAGAAACAGTAAGAATGAAAGCAGGCCTGGCATGTTAGAGTCACTTAAGAAAATGCTGGCTGATATTACTATTGTTAGTAGTAACAGTTAGTAGAGCATTAGCTCCCGCTATAAATATTGCAAAGGCTACTTTTAGAGGTCTCTTTATTCCTCTTTATGAGCAACAGTCTTCCTGTGAAAACGTGAGGCCGTCGTCTGGTGAGCCCCTGGGCCTCCTCCCAGGTCACAAGGCGAGCTATGGCCACGGCAGGCATGAGGCGATGTTGTCGTACATCAGGTGATTTTGTCATCACCAGCTTGCTCGACTGCCTCAGTAGCCAATCACAGGTGCGGTGAGTTCTTCTAGTTCAGCCAATTAGCTGTTCTAGTTTTCACAGTGCTCAGCTCTCCCACCTCAAAATGCTCACAGTCTCATTGCTTATGACCCTTGCACAGAGAGAAGGAAACTGCTTCCCTGGTCATGTCTTTTAAGCTCCCAACGGAGGCCTGAGGCGTGTTTGCTTTGGCCAGGAGGCAGCTCCATCTGCCCCAGAGAGGCCTCGCCAGCAAATGTGCTGCTCACTGCTCTCCCACAGCAAACTGACAGCTTTCAGTTCCCAGCAGACACGGATCAGGTGATCGAGTTCCTCCTGCGTGCCAGGCACCGCACCAGGCAGTGAAGCATTCAAGGAGGAAGAAGACGGGACTCTCGCCCCCTTAGGAAATTATGCTGGCATGTGGCCACCAGCTGACTTCAGCTTCTAATATAATTAGGATGCAAATTCTGCAGCTGGGAGAGAAGGTAGAAACTGCCTAATCTAACCCCTTGAGTTTAAAAATGAGGAAAGTGAAGCTGAAGAGGTTAAATGATGGCCTCAAGACCAGCCGTACTGGCGCACCTGGGGTGGGTATCCTCCCTTTCCCATCAGTCATACCTAAACCTGAGAAGTATCTTTGGTCCAGCAGTGTATAGCAGACAGGCTGCTCCTGGCTCAGAACTTCTAAGGCTTGTCCTCGATGGAACTTTTCAGACAAGATGTCAGAGGTGGGTGTGACCACTGGGGAAGGGCTCCAAGCCATCTGACAATTATAAAATGCCAGGAAGCCGCCACCGCCAAAGTACAGGACCAACCTGGGAAGAAAGAAAAGATCATGCATACGTGGTGCATACATTTCAGGGCACGCATACACACAGCTCCCACTCGAGAGTCAGGCCAGACTGTCCACAGTGCTCCTACTCCACAGTCATGATTAACCCAGGGAAGCTAAGACCCCCAAAGAGAAAAGGTACGGCTCTGCCAGAGTCATAAAAGTCTCAGGGCTAAATGCAGTGATTAAAAGAAAACATCTGTCTCGCTCCACTTCTCTGACCACAGCAATACATGGTCACTGAAGACAATGTGGAACACACTAAGCCCGACAGTGTGGCAATCTGCACAAAACAGTCTGTTATAAAGGACAGAGAAATGAACGCTAAAGAGGCACGAACTCCCAGTCTAGGCAGGATTTACTAAGAAATCCGTATTCACACGTACTCCCAGGGGATTCCTGAATTCCAAGGACAGAGGAGAAACTTTATGAACTTTGATAAAGAAATAATGGGTTACTTTGTAAGGGCAGATAATCAGACCGCAACTGAACTCCACATCTGAAAGGGAATATCCACATAGCTGACCTAGATGGTACCTTCCGTGGAAGTAAAAAGACAGCTTCAGAGGAAGAGGACTTGGAGACACATCTCCCATAGCATCTGAGGTTAACTACTCAAGGAAAACTATGTGTCCAATGGAAATGAGATCAGTAGGGCCCTCAAGCCAAGGTGAATAGAAAAGGGGGTGGGTCATAAGGGGCAGCACTGGGTTGCATAATATTTATTGTGAGATATAAGTACAGCAGCATACCTGAGAACCATAATGTGTAAGGAAGGGATATGTGTATGTATATGTAATACATATATTATTTATATATATAAAATTTATATATATAATTTATATATATTATATATGTATACACATACACACACACACAGAATTCAGCTAAGTGTGAGCACTTCTGCAAAGCCATGAGTATGTGCATTCTCAGCGACCAGCAACACACACACACACACACACACACACACACACACACAAAGAATTCAGCTAAGTGTGAGCACTTCTGCAAGGCCATGAGAATGTGCATTCTCAAGGACCAGCAATGACTCCTCTGGGAATCTGCACTAAGGAAATAATCCTGAAAATGGACAGAGATTTACACACCAAGATATTCCTCTCACGGTGCAGTAGTCAAGCCGTACAATGTCCTTCAGAGCCATCCCATCCTCAAGAGCCACGCTTTTGGGAAAGTTCTTCCTTTTTTCTAAGCTGCCCCCATAGGTTTCCTCCCCTCTCTGAGTACAGACCACAGTGTGCTATTACAGGTAGACAGAGAAGCGTCTTCTCTCTCATAGGATGTGCGCACCCCGAGAGCAGGGAGGACAGCCATGTGAGCGAGCCCACAGAGCCGGGCCCCAAGCCTGCATGAAGGGGCTGTGTTAAATACTGCCCACCCTGCAGAGCCACAGGTCCCGGCCTGCTCAACCACACCATTACCTTGGAATGGGGTCCCTCCAGTCACCCTTCTTGTTTGCTTTCTTCGCTCTGGAGAACTCGTTCACCCAAATGCTGCCAAATAAACCAAAGCTGACCTGCAGCCACCTCTCAGCGGCCCCTGCGGGAGTGCCTCTCTGCAAACACTCCAAGCCATTGTCTCCACTGGGAACGACACGCTCCATGGACGGACATAACTGGTTAGAGATTTCCCAGCTGCTGGGCCCCAAGGCCTGCTTTTGGTCCTCAGCCTCTTCCTCCCTCTCTCCTTCCTGCAGAAGCTCTGGCAGTGACTTGTTGCCAAGGGACCCAAGTTCTTCATCTGGATCAAATCTAAGGAATAATTTCTTTCCATGGACCTGGAAAAAAAATGCACATGATCTAATAAGACTTGGCTATGGAGTTGTTTGTGCTCTCCCAAAATCTGTATGTTGAAACTTAACCCATAGTGTAATGGTATCTGGAGGTGAGGCCTCTGGGAGGTAATTAGGCCATGAGGGTGAGGTCTTCATGAATGGGATTAGTGTCCTTAAAAGAGACCTCAGAAAGCTCCCGTGCCCTTTCCATCAGGTGAGGATGGCAAGAAGATGGTTGTCTATGAATTAGGGTGCAGGTCCTCACCAGACACCCAAACCTCCAGGCCATCTGATCTTGGATTTCCAGCCTCTGGAACTGTAAGAGATAAATCTCTTTGGTGGACAAGTCCCCTCATCTGTGGTATTCTGCTAAAGTAGTCTGAATGGACTGGGACAGCCTTACAGACCCAGAAAAGGGAAGACGAGAAGAGGGGTATGCAGATCTCTCTCTGAATGCAAATTTATCCCCTTCTGCCCCTTCCATGAAGCTTTCTCAAGTTGAGTGTTTTGTACCTGGCTTTTGCTCTCCACTCAAGTCGTGTAGGCAGTTAGCAGACAGTTTTCTTTCTTTTTTTTTTTAAATGTTTTATTTATTTCTGAGAGAGAGAGACCGCGTGAACAGGGGAGGGTCAGAGAGAGAGGGAGACACAGAATCCGAAACAGGCTCCAGGCTCTGAGCTGGCAGCACAGGGCCCAACATGGGGCTCGAACCCACGAACCGTGAGATCATGACCTGAGCCGAAGTCGGACGCTTAACCAACTGAGCCACCCAGGCGCCCCTAGCAGACAGTTTTCAATGTGACTGAAAGCAAGACTTAGATTAGCAATGACACAGATTCACGCTAGACAGCAGGACGACACTACAATTCCTGAGGGGAAATGCTCCTAGTGCTTTCACAGGTTGGCTAAGAAATAAATGCAAATTGTCATTCTTGTATTTAATTAATATCTTTTTCTTTGTTAGAAATAACCAACACACACACACACACACACACCCCCCACCCCACACAAACAGACAGCAGGTAAAGTATTGTATTTTATACACTGTAAATATACAATGTATTTTACACATCTTAAAATCTGGTACCTCTCAACTCACTAAACTGGATTTAGAATAATCAACCACAAGAGAACTCACAATAAAAATATAATCAGTAGGGGCGCCTGGGTGGCTCAGTCGGTTAAGCATCTGACCTCAGCTCAGGTCATGATCTCACGGGTTCGTGGGTTGGAGCCCCGTATCGGGTTGTGTGCTGACAGCTAGCTCAGAGCCTGGAGCCTGTTTCAGAATCTGTGTCTCCCTCTCTCTCTGATCCTCCCCTGTTCACGCTGTCTCTCTCAGAAATAAATAAAAACATTAAAAAAATAAAAAAACGATAATCAATAAAAATTGAGTATCAATCAACAAAAAGTGATTAGTGAATCAAACCATAACATGTATATAAAATATAATAAGGAAAAGAATTCACCTCATACCAATGAAAATGATTTCAGTAAAAGAGGAGAAAAGGAAGTATAGGTAAAAGAATGTTCCAGCTGCTTCGTATTCTATTTTCATTTTGCTAGCCCTAGTATGTAATATGCATGTCCAGATTCCAGGATGAGCTGATCCTGCATGATTTGAAATCCAGGCAAAACCAAAACACCTGGCATCAATAATGGAATCACCTATGGTACTTTCTCAGCTACCAAAAGTACATAGAGATCACACAGTTCTGATATCATCTCCAGTTTGTCAATAAGTATAAACATTATTACTGTAGCAGTTCTTCAAAATCCTCTCTCTAAAAGAGGGCATTACCAGGGCGCCTGGGTGGCTCAGTCAGTTGAGTGTCAGACTTCGGATCAGGTCATGATCTCACGGTTCATGGGTTCAAGCCCCGTGTCAGGCTCTGTGCTGACAGCCAGAGAGCCTGGAGCCTGTTGCACATTCTGTGTCTCCCTCTCTCTCTGACCCTCCCCTGCTCACACTGTCTCTCTGTCTCAGAAATAAATAAAACATTAAAAATTTTTTTAAATAAATAAAGAGGGCATTACCTTTCTCAATAATTCCAGAATAACTCCTCTGTAAATCTGAACACAGTAGTTTGCTGCTACATATTAGAAAACGCTTCACTGAGCAACATAAAAAAACTGGAGAAAGAATTAAGTAGGCAAAACAGGGTTTGCTCCAGATAATACTCTCTTCATGAAAATTCACCAATGTTGGTATAATGCTGATGAAAATATTTGTCAAATGCCCCTCTCGGGGTCAAAACAATCATCAGGTCAAAAATGCCTAGGTCAAGACATCATTGGCAATTTCTACTGTCTCTCTTTTAAATTCCTGTGAAATGGTTGTTATTTCAATTAACTAACCATTAGTTGAGCTTATACGATGTGTCAGGCAGTATGCTAGGCTCTGAGGGCATACAGATGAGTAAGTCTCCACTCTTTCCCTTTGGAAACTCATTATTTCAAAAGGAAATTCTTGACACAAGCTACAACATGGATGAACCTCGAAAACACTATGCTTAGTCAGTTAAAGCAGTCACAAAAGAACACATGTTGCATGATTCCATATATGCATATATTCCAAAAAACGTGAAATGTTTTTTTAAAAAGGGCAAATCTATAGAAGCAGAAAATACATTAGTGTTGTTTAGGGCTGGGGATAGAAGGCTGGGATAAAATGGGGAGTGACTGCTAAGAGGTACAGGGTTTCTTTCTGGGGAGATGAAAATGTTCTAAAATCGATTGTGCTAATAATGGTTGTAAAACTATGTGAAGATACTAAATGCCACCAAATTGCACATTTTAAATAAACTGTATGTTATGTGAATTATATCTCAGTATATAATTGAGATAATTGGAGGATTGGTTAAAAGTCTAATTATGTAGTGGGGTGGGAGATCTAACCCAAAAAGGATGGAATAGAAACATTAGCAGCCATGTGAGGACTCAATATTTATCCCCCATGCACTCTTTCTCGGGCAGCTCCCGGAGTGTGTGCTTTGTAAAACGAGAGGGGAAAACAAAGGAGAAGACATGGAACCTGGTGTCGGGGGTGCTGCTGACTGGCTCCCCAGCTCGCTCTCTCCTCTTCCCTACTGACAAACCTGCCGAATTATGGGGATCTCAATATTCTCCGCTAAAAACCTCTGTCTCCCAGACTCCCTTAGCAATGAGGCAGCCAGTGATATATATGCAGGAGTGGTCAAATGTGATTTCCGGAAAAGCTCTTTCAATCAGGTGAGCCATGAGGTGCCTGGGTGGCTCACTCAGTTAAATGTCTGACTCTTGGTTTCAGCTCAGGTCATGATGTCCCAGTTCGTGGGATCAAGCCCTGAGTCAGGCGCTGCACTGTCAGTGAGGGGCATGCTTGGGATTCTCTCTCCTCTCTCTGGCCCTCCCCCACTCTCTCTCTCTCAAAGTAACTAATAAAACAGGTGAACCAGCAGCTTCCAGGTCCCTTCTGCCCTATCCCCCTTCCTTCCTCTTTCTTCTTGCCTCGAATGTAATGGCTGGAATCCCAGCAGTCATGTTATCATCATGAGGATGAGGGTCACACCTCAGGGAGTGGAGAGCAGAGAACCCGATGCCTAATGATCACGTGTTGTTCCCATACCACCCTGGACTGTGTTCTCTGGACTTCCCATTATTTCAAGGGTGGGGGGAGGGGGGGAATCTCCAGACATGAATAAGTTGTTCTTCTGAATCCGTTATGAGTAATAAAACACAATTCCAGATACAGAAACTGGAGAACCGACAAGGAAAGACAGGGAAGTGACATGCCAGAAAAACAGGTGGCATGGAGTGGAGCCAATCTTTTCCCTGCTTCATCAGCCCACTGTTCTCATTCTGTCTCCATTTCCCTGTCTGTAACTGCTTCACAAACCTCAAATGCCCTTTCTTTTCCTTTTGGACCATCAAAATCCTCCATCCTTCAAGATCCAACTCAAATCCCACCTCCGTCATGAAGTCTTTTACTCCAGGCCACAAGGACCTCTTCTCTGCTGAGGCCCTCAAATGGGCCTTAATCATATGTTCCCCTCCTTCCTGTTCACCATTACCTAACAGTTTCTTCTGTTGCAGATCCAGGTCTTACTTTCCAAATTCGACTCTCAGATCCTTAGGAGGGAGAGATGCAGAGAAGGAAGTGCAGTGGTGAGAACTTACCACCCACATGCCAGGCTGTTCCCCAAGGCCATGTCCCAGAAGTTTCTTGGGCTCCCACAACTGCCGGTTTCTGCCTTGGTTTCCTAGGAAACCGGCTCCCAGTTCCATCTCCAGGCTCCCTTTGCACACAGTCTTCAGTCCACTCAGCCATTCCGTAAATATTCTCTGAGAGCCAGCTCTGTGGCAGGCACGGGCTAAGTGCTAGTGATCCGGAGATGAAAGGATAGAACCCTGCCCCTGCAAACCTTGCAATGTAGCAGCTGGTAAAAGAGTCCAAAGGCTCCCGTGGGAGAAGCACAAATCTGGAAGCCAAGGGGCCGGGGCTCCAGGTGGCTGTGTTAATTTGGGTTGAGAGTTCTACCTCTCTGAGCCCCCATCTCCAAATGTTGAAAATATAAGTGAAGGTCTAAGGCCTCTTTCAGTTCTAACCAAGAATGGTTTTATAACCCATGGGCTATGTGTGCAGGGAAAGGTTTGGAAAAAAGAATCAGCATTGATGGAGCACCTATCTGTGCCAGGCATAAAGTCTGTTTAATACAGTTTTAACTGGTAAGTTATTTAACCCCATTTTACAACTGCAGAAAGGAGAGCTGAAAGATTAAGTAATTTGCTTAAGAGCAAACAGCTAAATACCAGAGCTAATTCATTTTTTCTATAGAAAATTACCATATCTATGCCCCTAAAAGCAGGCACCTGCTTAGTGCTAGGCATACAACAATACCAATGAGGGCACAGGTCCTGCCGTTTACCTGTCTCCTCCAGGCAACAAGCAAAACAAATTCAATAGGAGGACCCCCCCCTTTTGGGGGGGGCGCCTAGAAGCAGAGAGAAGTCTCTCCCCAGCCTTAGAGCAGGCAAGTCAGGCTTCTCAGAGGAAGTGATGGCAAAGCTGAATCCTGAAGACGAAGAATTACCACGGTCACATGAAGGAACAGGAATGGGGGCAGATTTGGAGAAAAAAGGAAGACCTGCCCAAACAGGGGAACAGCATGTCAAAACCCTGCGCAAGAAGGATTGGTAGAGGAGGCCCAGATAGGTCAGTAAGACTGGAAGAGAGATTTAGGGCAGGGCACAAAGCAGGGCCAGAGGAGGAGCCACAAGTCAGACCACAGGAGCCACGGGAGCTCCTTGAGACAACTGACTTATGCTCAGGGCAAGAATGAGCCAACCTGAATCTAGATCAGAAGGCTATGCTCTTCTTGCCTTCCGGCCTTGCTAGTTCCCAACAGCTGGAGTGACCAGAATCGCTCCAGACTCTGAATTGGCATCCCCAGCTCAGGCATGCACAGTACACTTTTTATAGCTTCACAGGCCACTGTGATGCCCACTTCTGGCTGGGAACTATCAGACTGAGAGGGGCTGCGTGGGGTCCTAGGGTGGCTGTCGTGGGCTCAAGGAAGCGACAGCATGGAGAGTCTGCAGATAAATTCTAAGGGAGTCACAGGATAGGCTGATGGAGGCAGCCATTTACGTGCAGTATCAAGCAAGCCCGGATGAACTCACCTGGTTGTCTTGAAGCCACAGGAACTGAAGGCTGGCAGGGTTGAGCTTCTTACTGCTGCCCCCTGTCTTGACCACCTGCTGCCCCACAAAGGGGGAGACCAAGTGGTGGAACTTCCTCACAGACGGTCCTTCCGGCATCCCTGCAGGCAGAAGTGGGGAAAAGAAGCCCCTGACCTAGCTAGCTTTTCTCTAGCATTACTGATGGGTACCAAGTTCCAAGCAGCTGTTTTTTGCCACCAGCTTGAAGAGTATATATGGCCAAAAAGGGAGTGCGGCTGAGAAGAGGGATCAGATCAAAGAGAAGGACCAGCTGTGCCAGGGTGTGGGCCAGTTTCCCAGTAATGGTTTCCTTCTCCAGCCCCTCTCACCCTTCTTCATGCAGCAAACCTGTTACACACCAACAGCACGCCAGGCATCACCTCACGGGAGCCTCCACTTTGCTCCTGCGGCAGCCTGAATGGGAGCTGCTGGCCTAGGTATTTTTTGCCTGCCCTTGGGGGCCCCAGACTCCTCTCCAGGCTTTCTCTGTCCTCCCCCTTCTTCAAAAGCAATCATTCCAACCACTGCTGCTGATTTCTCTCCCCACTTTCAGGGGAGAAATGGTGATGGAAAAGAAGGCTGTAAGGGACACAGAAAAAAAGATATGGATCTGGTCTCCCCAGGGCCACCCCACTAGTAGGGGCTCTGTGTATGTGATGACAGACAATACAGAGTTCAGAACCATGACAAGTGCAGACGAGGATCATGTTAGTTCTGAGCAGGAAGAGGCCACATGCAGCTTAACTACAGATAATTATTCCTGGTAACTGAAGACAGCTGGCATTGTTTTAACCCTGATCCATGCTTATCTGTGACCCTCATCTCTCCCTGCCCCAAATCACCCAAGTTCACTCAGAGTTTTACGTATACGCATTCAGATGTTTGAGTCTGAGTGGTCGCTATCCTGGCTTCTTGCAGCTAGGTGAGCCTCCCCACCCCCTTAACCAGGGCACACGACTTAACCATCCCTTTCCTCACCTGCACAAGACTGTAAGTTATGACAAAACCCCAAAGAACTAAGTAGGTACTTGGCATGGTGGTAGCTATCGTATTTCAGCAATTCTAAAAAAAGTTAAAGTTTTCCGAAGTGAGGATGCCTCTTACTATATCCATGCTTTCTCATAGTTTAATTAGCAGCACGTTCAATAATGTGTATTTTAAATTTGATGGTGCTTTAGATTCGCTGAAAACTAGCGCTATTTCCCTTAATCAGACCTTCAAGATACTGGAGAGGCTTTACTTACAAAAAGTTCTGGATTGCAAGGAGACCTGCCAGACTGCAACGGACCTTACCCTCAACCAGCTCTATGTACCCAGGTCATCTCCAACGGTGGAAGCTTCTGGAAAAAGCGTCCATCTGAAATTCACTTAACCTTTGAAATTTCTTGACACGGGGGGTGTATTTCTTTTAGGTATATTTATGGAGACGTACAACTGGGCAGGAAGTTGCCTCTGCCATAGCCTTAAGAGGTCGGAAGGGGGAAAGACAAAGATTTGATGGGATAGCTTGCCTGCCTACTCTCAAGCCCCCTCCTTCCAGAGGCCAACCGCCTCAGTGAGGCTGATGAACGGCTTCCTAGGAGACCACACTGAAAGTGGCAGAGGAGAGGGGCTTCAGGGCGTCCTCGCTTCTTGAATCAAACCACTCACTCCCAGAGGGAGGCTCTAAAATGGCTGCTATTCCCGAGTCTCTCGGGGTGAGGCGGAAAGATGGGTGGGCGCACAGACAGGCCTGAAGGGCAAGTGGGGGGCCTCCCAAGGGTAAATGCAGGGACGCACAACGGTAAACAAACCAACCAACCAAAAACCTGGGCCTCGGCTGCGGGCTCCGAAAGGGATGCTTCTAGAACTGTCGGTCACTGCGTCGTCGCGCAGGTGACGACTCCGCGCAGGCCGCGGGAGCTCCGCGCACCGCTGCGCAGGGAGCCTGCGCCGCCCCCGGCCAGCTTCCCTCTCCCCCCGGGCGGGGGCCGGCCGGCTGAACTCACCGGCTCCGGGCCCGCACCCCGCGGCGCGCCCCAGGACCGCGACGGGGCCGGCACGCCGCCTCGGGCGCAGGACGCAGAGAACTCAGCGGCCAGCGTGCACTCGGCTCTGGCCGCGGAACGGTCCCGGGAGTGGGTAGCCGCCGCGGATCCCGGTCCCGAGGCGGGGCGGGGTAGCAGCAGGCTCCCCCTCTAGGGGGGCAGGGCTCCGGTGTTCCGTCAGGGCTTGGCGTGGAGCGGGACTCCGCCCCCGAGAGTTAGGGGGCGAGCGCAGGGGGAGGGCCCTGCTCTGGCCGAGGGAGCGCGCGAGGCTCCTCCCCTGAGGGAGTGGCCGCGTAGATCAAGATCTAGCACCTGGCGGAGGGGAAGCAAACCGCCTTTGGGAACGTTTATTGTCTTAGGAAGAGTGGCAGCCATAGAGAAAACTTAAATTCCTGAATAGGAGAACTTTGTGTGGTTCGCGCAAAACCTTTTTTGAGTTGATTGTGCACGGCGTCCAAGCTTAGGTCATTTTGGAAAGGAAACATGTTTCAAGAAAGTCTCATGAAAGTTTTCAAGGGTGGGATCTTTCCCTTTACATTATTTAAATATTATTTAAGTTTGCCATAAGCAAATTTTGCTTTAAAAGTCATATTTAAATTTTTACCAGAGAGTAATAAAGATAAAATGGTAGATTATTTAAAAATAAGTATGTTCTTTAAAAAATTTTTTTAAATGTTTTATTTTTGAAAGAGAGAGAGAGCACAAGTATGGGAGGAGCAGAGAGAGAGGGAGACAGAATCCGAAGCAGGCTATCAGCGCAGAGCCCGACATGGGGTCGAACCCACGAACCGTGAGGTCATGACCTGAAAATATGTTTTTGGGGCGCCTGGGTGGCTCAGTCAGTTGAGCGTCCGACTTCGGCTCAGGTCATGATCTCATGGTTCGTGGGTTTGAGTCCGGCGTCGGGGCTCTGGGCTGACAGCTCAGAGCCTGGAGCCTGCTTGGGATTCTGTGTCTCCCTCTCTCTCTCTGCCCCTCCCCCACTCATGCTCTGTCTCTCTGTCTCAATAATAAATAAACATTAAAAATAATAAATAAATAAAAATAAATAGGTTCCATTGTTAGTTCTCCAAAGAGGTTGGGGAGCCAGCACTTTCCAAGAAGACAGAGGAATTTTTGGAAGTGCCAGAGCAGGTGTTCTGGACTGTCAAGGATAGCAGGTAGCAGGTACCATAGACCCTGGCCAAGAGGATCCTGAGGGGGTCTTGGCCAGCACAGGAGACAGGCCAGTCCCTTAGCAGATTGTGTCTTGCTGACTGAGACAGAGCAGAACCTTCTACTAAAGGGGATGGGGCAGGAAGTGAGGAGAGGAAGGCTGGGAGGCTTGGGACACTTAAGTTCCTCAGCATAGAGGAACCCTGGAGACAGAGGGGATGAGGTTTGCAGGTGCAGAATTTCCAGGTGGGAAACTGGGATCCCCTGAGAACCTTCTGGTCTCCCTCTTGCTATATCTGGCCTCTTTTGGAGAACATCACCATCAGGGTGCCCCCTGCTGTAGGATCTGCACAAATGGTAGCTTCTGGATTCTCTAAATCCCTATTCTCTAGGCTCGGGCTGACCTGGGTAGGAAGGCAGAGCCCCAGTCATTGCCTCAGCTCTTGGAATGAATGCTGGGTGCCTGAGGCCAAAGGCCTATAGAGTTAAGAAACCAAGAGTACGTCAGTGGCTCTGTCAGTTGAGCATCTGTCTTTGTATCAGGTCATGATTTTGCGGTTCTTGAGTTCAAACCCTACATCAGGCTCACTGCTGTCAGTGCAGAGCCTGCCTCCGATCCTCTGTCCTTCTCTCTCTCTGCCCCTTTGCCACTGTGCTTTCTCAAAAATAAACAAACATTAAAAAAAACCCACCAAATGTTTCACAGCTGGACTCTATCATTTATAAGAGCTATTTGTTGAGTACATACTATATGTGAAATGCTGTTGAAAGCTCTTTACATTATATTGCCTTGTTATTAGCTATGGGAAGACAAACAAATCACAATATCTCTGAATCTAGTCATGTTTTAAGTGAGAGATATATGGCTTTATTATGGAAATATTTTAAAGCAGGGTTTCTCAAACTTTAATATGCCTATGAATCGCCTGGGAATCTTGTTTAAATGAAGATTCTGACTCCGGTTTCAAGCAGGGCCCAAGACTTTGCCTTTCCAACAAGCTCCCAGGTGAAACTGCTGCTCCTGGTCCAGGGGCCTCACCTGGGGCAGCAAGGCCGTAGAATGTAGTGCTTGGCAGTTGGTAGCCACTCAATAATAAATATTCTTTGAGTGAATGATTAAATGAGATATTAGAAGCAAAACACTCATAAACTGTAAAGTGTTGTGCAAGGGTATGTAACCATCATTCTAAGACAGTAAGGCTGCAGAAGGACAAACTCCTGGAAGGGCAGCTCTGTAGAATAGCAGCAAAGAACACTATTTCTGCAACAGACCTCCTGGGTGCAGATCTCATCACTCAGTGGGCAGATCTTGGGCAAGTAATTTGCTTTTCTGTACCTTAGTTTCTTCATCTGTAGAATGAAATGAAATGCCTGCCTCACTGGGCTACGGTGGGATTTATTGAGATGATTTCCCTAAATCTCTGAGCCCTGGGCCTGGCTCCGTATGTTTCGTTATTAGTCTTTGTCTCCTGGATTGGGGGCAACCCCAAAGCTCACGGGAGCCTGGGCCTCAGCACCTAGCTCTCTAAGGGCCATGGAGCCAATTCCTCCCTCTTGCTTTGCGGCCCTGATTTCTCCAACAGCATTAAAGTTACAGTGCACATGAAATACAGCCACCTCAAAGATAGCAAGAAAGGACGTGAAGGAGAAAAGCAGAAAGATCTGGTGAGGAATCAGATTGTCAGTGAAAGGGCATGGGGATTCTGAACCACCCTGAGAAGGTTTCGTTTGTTTCTAGAGGCATATTCGGTCTGTGACCTTCAGTGAATTACTTAAAATCCATGGGTTGTATCTTCTTTGTGTTCCAAAACAGGATTGTGAAGATATAGACGTCTTTTATGTGGATATATAAAGCTACTAGCAGCGTCTGATGTGCAGAAGTGCCCAATAAGCAGTAGGTACTTTTTTTAGTAGAATTTCTGGGCTGACCTCAGATTGCTTGCAAGTCAGGCTTCTATAGTCTGGTGCCCTCACATGGGGAGTGCATTAACTGCAAGGATGGTACTTTTATGTCAGGCTCAGAGCCTTCCTTGAGGGTAGGTGTTAATCGTGGCTCTTCCTCACATCAGCTCTGTGGCTTTGGGCAGGTTCCCTCAACAATGGTGGGAGACAAGACGGTTTGGACCAGATGATCTGAGGGCCCTCGTGATCTGTAAATGAATCAGGCATGGTCTCCAGTCCAGCTATCTGTCCTTTTTTCCTAGCAGCGTTCAGTTTTCTTTCTGTTCGACTCTCCCAGGCCAGCTACCGGAAACCTTAGCAACGTTAACTTCCCCAGATCCTTAGCAGCCTATGTCCTGCAAGCCCATTGTATTCCCACAGACTCCAGACCCATACCATCCCTGTAAGGATGACCTACCAGGAATTCCTCATCCCTGTCCTGGTGCAAACAGCTGGATTTTAGGCTGCAGGACCTCTTGGGAGTCTAGAGCAGCACCAGGGCCCCTGACAACTGCCCCGGGATTGTTTGATTGCTTGACTTCATAGCTAAATAGGTTTACTCTAACCCAACGTGTCCTACCAAGTGCCAGGATGCCCTCGACGGAGCTGACCTGGTCACCTGGCCAAACAGCCTTGCAGCACTGGACCAAACCAGAGCCTGAGAGCAGGAGTTCTTAACCTGGGGTGTATGGAGAAGTTTCCAGAGTTCATAAAACCCCTAAAATGGTGAATAGCTTGTAAAATCTAGGGTATGGGTACCTTCCTGGGAAAGTGGACCTGGCTTTTATTATATATTCAGAGGGGATTTGACCCCAACAGTAAGAAAACCACTGCCCCAAATTGCAGAATGTAAGTAATGTTCTGCGGGAAGGCTCAGAGGCAGGCTCCAGTTCCATGACCTGCAGTCCCTCTCAAACCTCTTCAGTGCAGCTGGGTAGTGAGGGGAGACACCAACGTCTTTTGATGGATTTAAGGAAACACCAGAATTAGTGCATGGCATGCTTTCCTCTGCAGTGTGTCGGCCATAGAAAACCTGAAAGGGTTTTCCATGTCCCCTGCTTTGTTTGCTGGGAGTAGCTTTCAGAGTCTACAGAACATTCCTCAATAGCCCTTCATTTGATGACAAGTTCCTATCCTTTAAAGGGGCAGTGAGAAAGGACTGGGGACAAAATTTGGTCAGGTGATGTAATTCTATTTGGGGCCCCATGTCGAATGTGGCTAAGAAGCAATGAGCAATAAGCCTGGTTCTCTTAGGCTGACATGAGCAGATTCTAGACAGTGTCTAAAGGGAGTTCCAACACATATTGTTGCAATGGCTGCAACCCTAGAATAAGTAGTCTTTGACGTGGCTACTTTGTGAGACAATACTCACTGGATGTATAGCTTCTGGAACATTTTTTAAAGTTCATTACTTAGATCACAAAAAAAGGTAGTTTTCCATTTAAAGTACATCAATCTGGAGTCTCTAGACTCCAGGCCCTGAGGTTTCACTTGTACTGACAAGAGTAAGTAATACTGAGAGGGAGGTGAACCACTTTCTTGTAGTGTCAGAGCAGATGGTCCAAAGTGCTGGATGGCAGACCTAATTCAGTGGGTCTCTGGGGAGTAATTTCTCTCTGTCGTTTCCTGAGCATCCTCACAACACGGTAGAGTACCAAAAAGGGAAGGTAGCGCATGCTCCTTGTATGACACCAGATGTGGCAAGGATAATTTCAGATTATCACAGCTATCATGACTACTTAGAGCTCAGAAGAACCTTAAAGATCTGCTGGCTCCAAAACATTTTCCAGATAAAGATGCTGAGGTGAAGAGCAGTTTGGTGAACTGCCCTAACTTATGCAGCCAGATGATGGCCAAACCTGGACTACAGTTCTGAACCCTTGAATTTTATTTTTTTAAGTTGTTTTAATGTTTAGTTTTGGAGAGAGAGGGAGGTGAGGAGGGGTAGAGAGAGAGAGGGAGACACAGAATCCGAAGCAGGCTCCAGGCTCTGAGCTGTCAGCACAGAGCCTGACAT